TACGCAAATAAAGACATAGAATTTTGAAAAAATGTCATATTTTCTGATGAAAGTATGTTTTATTTATTCGAATCAGATGGAAAGAAATTGATGGAAAATGGATGGAAAATCAGATGGAAAAAAGTACACTTTTGCAAAACCAAGCCATTTTTGTCATTTCATTTCAAATTTTTGTTATTTCTTTTTTTATAATTTTTGCTATTATTATTATTAACTAATATACTTTAGTATACAACTAGTGTATATTAAAAGACATAAAATGACATACATGGTGTTAGCAATATCCTTCAATAATTAAAGATATTTACAAAAATTGTGGTGTGCCAATACTTATTTGATCCACTGTATATATAGGAGTATATATTGATTCATACTTTAATTGGTCAGTATAGTTATTTTAGGATTTAACTAATTTAACTAATTGTTTCACAAGAATTAACGAATTTGACAAATTACTACTAATATAATATATTAAAACAATAAAAGATCTTTAAAGATATTTCGTGATATAAAAAGATATTAGCATAAATAAATTTTATCATAATTTACCTATGAAATCGTAATGATGTTGAAATTCTAAAAAAAAAGAAACAAAAAATCAAAAGAAACACAAAATAACATAAAAACACAAACTACAAAATTATTACAATATTTTGTAGTTTGTATATATATATAAATATGAAATAATATATAATTAAAATATGTAAATAAATATAATAAAAAAAAATATAATTAAAAAATAATAAAAGAATATAAAAATAATAAATATATAAAAAAATATATAAATATATTATATTTTTTTTTTTAATTATTATATTAATAGTCAAAATTATTGAGTTATCTTCTATAAGGGTACAACTTATATTATCATTATCATTATTATTATTATTATTATTATTATTATTATTATTATTATTATTATTATTATTATTATTATTATAACACTTTGTGTGTGATTTATGCGTGTATAGGGAATAAATAAAGTCGAAAAAAAAAAGAAAAAGAAAAAAAATCCGAAAAGGGATATATCCTGACAAGGAATTTATTATAAGAGAAATATAGAAGAAAAAACAGATATAAAAAGAAAGTTGAAAGGGTGAGGAGGAAAGCAGTGTATGTATCATTAGATAAAAAAAACATAAGGGGAAAAAATAAGAAGAAGAGAAGGAGGAGAAAAAAAATAGTATAACGAGTATATTCCCAAGAATTCCCAGAGGGATTAAACGACTTCTTCGATGACGGAGGGGGTAGTAGTAATGGATGAGGGGGATGAAAATACATAATGACGATTCCCGAGTGTGATAAAAGATCTTGTCAGAAAGTAGGTCAAGAGTATCTACGCGTTTCTTCGATTCATTTTGACACGTGTTGTCGATATATAGGTCATCATTTTTATAAATAATTATATGATTTTAATACATCATTAGAAAAATTTTTAGTACAATAAGAAAAAATCTTAGATAAATTAAATTAAAATTGAACAGTTTAATAATTATTCTGTGTATGTGTGATTAAGTATATACATGGGAACAGCTTAAGAAACACGAGAACATTCTTGCCCACCTTTTGGAGATACACTTCCCGGGATCCGGTCAGGTCGAGCATAACCCCTCAACTAAGGGGGACCTCCGCGCCACGAGACCCGATGACTGGACCACTGCTGCAGCAGTGGTAACGTATGACAGGATTCGCTGGGCTCTGGACTCGTTCGACGGATACAAGAGCCCAGGGACTGACGGACTCTTCCCCGCCCTTCTTCAGAATAGGCGTCGCCCGTCTGTCGAGACGGCTCTTCATGGCCTCGTTCACAAGATCGAAGGTGCCCTCGACAGGAAAGAAGCCACCTTGTGCGTGTTTCTAGACGTCGAAGGGGCGTTCGATAACATCTCTTTCTACGCTATATACAGAGCAGCGAGGGACTTCCACATCGACGACACTATCGTCCTGTGGTTGGACCTCATGCTCCGCTCATGCATCATAACTGCTAGCCTCAGCGGGACGGATATCAGGCCGCACGTCGACAGAGGGTGCCCTCAGGGTGGAGTTACCTCCCCACTGATGTGGCTCATGATTGTCGACGGGCTCCTGAGTAGGCTCGGGGAGCTGGCGGTTAAAACGGTTGGGTTTGTCGATGACGTTTGCATAGCGGTCACCGGTAACCACCCGGCCACGATGACGAGCAAGATGCAAAGAGCGCTCGGCATCGTTCAGGATTAGTGCACATCGATGTCTTTGAGGGTGAACTCGAACAAGACTGAGATGGTGCTCTTTACGAGGAAGAGGCATTTCAACATAAGGCCTCCCTCAATATTTGGAACAGAGCTGACGTTCTCCCGGGAAGTTTGCTACCTGGGGGTGTCGCTTGATAGTAAGCTCAGTTGGAAAAGTCACATCTGCAACCAGACCAGGAAGGCTATTAATACCTTCTAGGCCTGTAAGAAGATGTTTGGAAAGACGTGGAGGTTAAAACCACGGATGGTCAGGTGGATCTACACCGTCATACTGGTCCCCCAACTGACATACGCCTCCCTAGTTTGGTGGCCCGGCGACGAGTGGGCTCAAAACAGGAAAGCGTTAGACAGGGTCTACAGGCTAACAGGGCTGGGAATTACGGGCGCGATGCGCACCGCCCCAACCCTGGCTATCGGGGCCCTGCTCAATATCTTACCTCCGCACATTGTAACGGAGGAGAGCTAGAAGCGTAGCCTTCAAGCTGCTGGTCAGCGAGAGTTGGAAGCGGGCCACCTTCGGGCACGCGTCGATCCTGGCAAAAACGGGAGACTTCGAGGAAGTCAACCGCCTTTGGGGCGACTGGTGCCCAAAGGAGTACCATTTCCAGCACAACTATGAGGTCCTTTTCCCAGACAAACAGTCATGGGCAGTGGACCCAAATCTTTTATTGGCACCCGCGGGGCCCATCTAGTATACGGATGGGGCTAAAGCGGGTTCCAACGCGAGAGCAGGGGTCTGGTCTGAAGGGCCTAGGACTGAGCTGTCCTACACCCTAACCGGTACCGCCTCTGTTCTCCAGACGGAGATGTTTGCCATTCGGGCCTGTGCCCGTAGTATCCTGAAAAGGGGGTACTACAGCAAACATATCTAAATTTGTAGGGACAGCCACACCGCGCTCAGACTTGTACACAGCACCGTGGTCAAGTCAGGGCTGGTCAAGGACTGTATCGACTTGTTGACACGGCTGGGCAGTGTCAACAGAGTAAAGTTGCTCTGGGTGCCGGGTCACAGTGGCGTTCAGGGCAACGAGAGGATGCCAGACTTGGAGCTTCACGGCACGATCCGGCGAACCGGTGCCCTGTCAGCATTTCATGGGAGCTTATGCGGAGGAGGACTGCGAAGTGGGCCACGGACCGCTTCAAGGATCTCTTGATGCAAGGTCCATGGCATGAGACACACAAAGGCCCTGTTCTCAGGGCCCTCGGAGAAGCTAGGTACCGAGTTGATCAACCTAGACCGAGCTCTATTAAGGCTGGTTGTGGGACTAGTCACCGGGCACAGGCACTTTGGAAAGCACCTCACGCGACTGGGCCTAGCACAAGACTCGGTCTGCGGCAGGTGCGGCGAAGGGGAGGATACCCCCCTACATCTAATAACTCAATGCGTTGGGCTCACGGACGTCAGAAATGATTTCCTTGGGACCACCGCTAACAACATTTTCGACCTAGTGGTCTCAGGGGCGGCCAGACTGCTGCACTTTGCAAGAGAGTCGGGGCTACCCGCGGGACCGCCACGATCATAGGTTTTTCCCCGCAAGGGGCCCGGGCACAATGGTCCAGGGACTGAGCGCCCGGGTTAACAAACCTTACGAAAAAGAAAACAGTATAAACATATATATATATATATATATACGTTTTATAATATTTATTATTATAATTAGATTATATTATTTATAATAATCATATTATTATATAATTGTGTAATAATTTAATATGCATTATATAATATATTACAATTGTATAAAAAATAATTATATTATTTATATAATATAATTTATTATATCTAATAATTAATATAATAAAATTTATTTATTTTATTAATAAATATTAATTATAATATAACTTATTTATATCAATATAATTAAATAATATATTATTATATATAATATAAAAAATAATTAATATAATAAATTAAATATTATAAAACATATAGGTATATAGGTTAATTCTGAAAAGTTCGTACGGTGGGTATTTCTGAAAAGTTCGTAGGGTATTTCCGAAAAGCTCGTAGGGTATTTCCGAAAAGCTCGTAGGGTATTTCCGAAAAGTTCGGAGGGTATTTCTGAAAAGTTCATAGGTCCGTTATAAGGAGACATGATCAAGTGTACGCGTACTTTGCGAAAATCCAAAGTCGATTTTCTCGAAAACAAAGCCTCAAACGAAAAATATTTATTCTATATTTTCGATTTATTTTTTCATGTAGAATCACTTCCTTTTCGCTTGTACCACCAGTTACAGATCACCCTGTATATACGTATAATATACTAAATAATAAATAGTAACTATATAAGTAATCTAGTAATTTTAGTAAAATATATATATACGTATACACATACGTATATTTTATATTTAAAAATAAAAAAACATAATAAAATTGAACTTTTTCTTTTTTTATCTCTTTCTTTTTCTATTGGTTATTTAATTTCAGTGATAAACCCATGCAAGTATATATAATACATTCGAATTTTTCAACGTATTCGATTTCTAGCTTTTAATCAATTAAACTAACGAGTTCAGTCATACGTTAATTGGCTTCTTTTTATTTTTTTTTATAACGAAAAAAAAAAGTTAAAGGGAAAGAGTGAGAGAAAAAACAAAGGGGTTGTTTCAATCTAAATAAGGGGTTGATAATTTTAGATTAATTTGCTTAGAAAATTATACTCCCCTTTTATTATTCTCTCAGTCTCTTTCTCTATATTTATTTCTCTATATTTATCTTTAACATTATTAACAAAGAATATTAATTTTTTATTGTATATATGTTTGTAGGAATTCAACATCGCCAAAGAACAACATGCTGTACAACCCTCATCTATAATGATAGAATCAGGTATATTCATTTTGTATTTTTATATTAACATTCTAAATAATTGATAGTAAATTTAACACTTTGACTGCCATGTTGGTCATTTATGAACGGCCACGGTTTCTCCTGAGACGCCACGGTGGTCATTGGTGACCTTTTACAATTGTAAAAAACTAAATGAAAATTGAAAGTTAGTCTATTTGTAAATGATTGATACATATTAGGTCAAGTCATAAATAACTTCCGTTTCTTATGAGACAAAGAATGGCGTTTCTGCGACTGATAAGTGCAAGACACCTTTCATGGAGTTTTTTTTGCACTCTTTGCAATTGTTCAACGTATCTATTGGATTTTGCTCCAATATTAACTTTGAAAGATTCGTCAAAGTCGGAAATACGTCCTGCACTCGGTTCATCTTTTAAGATCGTATCACCAGAACGGAATTTTACAAACCAATTTCTGACTGCCCTATCAGTTATCAGTCCTGCACTGTATACGCTACATATTTTGTCAGTTGCCACCTTAGTGCTATTGCCTTGTTTCAATTCCTAAAGCATTACATGTCGAATATGCACTTTTTACTATCCATTTCAGAGGTTAAGAAAAACGGTTAAATATAACATTGACTACATAAAAAATTTGACAGAAGACTAACTGAATCCTCATGTATATAGTGATATTGAAAATCCGTCTGTTTCGGTGACTTATAATAGGTAAATACGAAAATTAGATTCTACATAGCCGCATCGAAAGTTACTTATGACTCGACCTAATAGAAGATACTTGGAAATAAAAAGTTTCCTATTAAACAATTACAATTTTTTATTAAAATCAATTTATTATTATTTTGCCATTATATTCTATGACTAATAAAAATTAATGCCGTGGTGCCTATGGCAAAGCATATGATTGACCAGTCAAAGGGTTAAGCAAAAAAAAAACAAATTTCTTACAGTATAATAAATATAATATTATTTTCTTTTCATCTTTTTGTTTTCTAGATTTTTCTTTCGTTTTTTTTATACATAATTTTAAAAATAATTTTTATCCTTTTTCTTTCCACACATTATTTCCATACTTCGATAACATATGGTAACCATAATACATGAGGTAAGTTTTACGTAGTCTCGATTATCTTTCATATTTAGATTTTCACGTGTTCGCGACACACCGTGTTTACGAGGGTAATATTTTATATCACGGTTATAAAAACGAGCCGACCAAGTTACAGACAATTTTTATGCACGGCAAAAAGGGGTGTGTATGTATGTATGTATGTATGTATGTATGTATGTGTGTGTGTGTGTGTGTGTGTGTGTGTGTGTGTGTGTGTGT